TACCTATAGATACCTACATGTAAATAATACAATTTACAGTCTCTCTCTCATTCTCAGAATAACCAGTTAATGTTTCACATTTTCCATCCAGTTGCTTTTCATTTCAGTTTTCAACTTTATGAAGCCCTCACTATGTTCCTCCATCCAGACAAACAAGCTTCGCCCAATGTCCTGAAAACAGTGAGCAAAAATTGCAGTATTTATTGTATCACAATACCAACCATTTTATCACATGCCAGAGGACAATCTGTCACATATGTTTTAAATGTCAAAAAATCAATAATACTTGTAAAAGCAAGCCTAAAGACTAGCAGTTTTAGCATCCAGTAGAAAGTTCTACTCAGTTGTACAATTCTGTGTGATACTAATCAAAAGATCCACTCATGATAACGATGACCCTCAGATAGTAGTGGTAAGTTTTTCTGCCCCAGACTGCCAATTTACCAATTTCTGAATGCAACACCTATCCAATGCCTCTGCTTGAACTGACAGGGAGCCACATATAACTTGCCAGGAGTCATACTGACACAATAATGACAATAGTGGCCATGGATTTGGAAGGTGCTGTTGATGAAGCTTTGGTGAATTTCTGCAGTGCATTTTCTATGTTGCTACTGTGTGCTGGCGATGGAAAGCAGGCTGCTTTGCCCTGGATGGTGCCAAGCTTCTTGAATGTTGCTGAAGCTGCACTCATTCAGGCAAATGGGAGGATTCAATCACACTCCTGACTTGAGGGCGGGCTGTGGGGAATCAGGTGGTGAGTTATTCAGTGCAGGAGTTCTAGTCTCTGACTTGCTCTTGCAAATACATTTGTAGGGCTGGTCCAGTTCCGTTTCTGGTCAATGGTGACCCTCAGAATGTTGGTAGTAGGAGAATCAGTGATGGTAATGCCATTGAATGCCATGGAGGGGGTGGGGTGTAGATTTTCCTTTATTGCAGATGGACATTGACAGGCACATGTGAGGCATGAAGGTTACTAGCCACTTGTCAGGCCAATCCTGCATAATTATCGAGGTCTTGCTTCATTTGGAAATGGACTGCTTCAGAATCCAAGGAGCCATGAATGGTGTTGAACATTGACAATCGTCAGCAAACATCCCCACTTCTGACCTTACGATGGAAGGAACGTCATTGATGTAGTAGTTGAAGATGACTGGGCTTAGTGTCTGAGCTCATTTTCACACCCAAAGAACCCATGAGAACATAATGAAACATGTTGACCGTGACAGAGATAGCACTCGAAGATAAATGGTTTCTTTTTCTCAGAAGATTCTCATGAACTCTGAAGCAAAAGGATCCAAAAGAAGACATCCCAAAGATATTTTCCCGATGGCTTACCTGATGTGAAATACCTGAGACTTATCCAAAGTGAGATAAAGCATGGTATATTCTAAAGGGCAGCATGATCACACCAGTTCAGCAGCTCCTACCTTTCAGGGCTTCTCAATACTGATGAGAGCTCTTAGATGGTATTAAGATAGAATTTCACAGGTACAGAATCATCTTAGGCCTGCATCTGAAGCAGCAACAGCTCCAGGTGGGTAAGTACTTGTGTGAAATGGATCCAATACCAAAGAGATCCTTTTCAGGCTAAGTTTTGATAAAACTAGGCAGGCATTTACCCAGTCCTGAGGATTTTGGTATCAAATCTGTTAAGTCAGGCCACAGGTCTCAGCAGTCAGTAGTCTCAGTAGATTATAAAGAATTGTACAGTCTTGCTAATTCATGCAAAGACACAGGTTCAGAGATAAGCTCTTTTTGATATTTGACAGCGTCCTCCCTGATTTATTTAAGTCAGAAAAAGTGCTTACTTTCAAACAGGCGAGTCAGCATACAAGTCAGACTAAGTGCAAAATTTGACAACAGGTGGAAATGGATGGTTTAATGTGAAACTGAGGTTTGGTTTCAGCCAGTGAGTGAGTTAGGGCCTAAGGTGGCTGCCTTGCCCAACAAGAAATTAGCTAAAAGTGAGAAAAAGCAGGAACAATTTTTTTTGAAGTTTTGACATTGTAATACAAGGAAGCGTGATAGGGCACTCAATGGCAATGTAGCTACCATCAGCAATTCTGCAATGAGAGAATATCCTTTAAAAGTAAATCATGTTCATCACCCTCAGAACAAGGCAGAATTCAGCAAACTGAACAAGCAGAAACAATGGAACTTCCTTGGTCAAGTAGATATCGTTGGTCTTATAACAAAATATGATGATGTTGTAATATTGAAAGTCAAAAATTCTGTTAATAAAGCTTTCTCGGTTCTGAAGCAGTAATTACTGCTATCTTCAAAAATGACGTGAAGTATTGAAGACTTACCCAAAATGAGGTAAAGCGAGGTTCATTCTCAAGCGGCAGCATGTTCACACCAGCTCAGTGGTCCCCACTTCTTCAGAACTCTTCGATACCAATGACAACACTTGGATGGTACACAAAATGGTACAGAATTTCACAGGTACAGAATTGTCTCAGGCTCCATTTGAAGAAGCCACCTGCCTCTGACTGCCAAAAGTCAAGGTCCAGCATCTGGGAGGCCACACTTGAAGTTGAAGGTTTTATGAAGTAATACTTACCTATAATGGTAAAGTTATTAAGGACCTTTTTAACATTTGCAGTATCAGACAAATGTACGCTGAGTTGGCAAGGATGTAACCAACTAGAACCTGTGGTACCTAACTCTCATATTGAAATCAAGAACTTATCATGATTCCTGTGTTACACTTCGAGATCAGACAGGGCAGAATTCTTCAGCTATTTTTGCAATGAAGTCAGATTGCATAACTGGCAGAACTAATTTACATATTGAAATAGAGATGGGAAGTTATAGTACTTTTCACTTTAAGGGAGTGATGGCACTGCTATTTCATTCGGCAGCATTCAAGGTGTGCCTGTTGAGACTGCCCAACACTACAGGGAACAGAACCACTCTCCATATACAGCAAGATTCTTCAGCCAGACTGCAAAACAGGAATGATATTCTACTTTTGTACAAGAACCCAGAAAATTTTTAGCCTTGAACTGGTAATCCAGAGACACCATCAGATGTGCCAGTAGGCAATTCTGAAGTTCTACTTATTTATTTTTTCATCCAGCATGTTTTGCAATGACTTTCAGATACAGTCTGTTTACTTTCCTGTGGAATGGTTGAAGAGATTATTGTTAATTCTTCACATTTTTTTAAAAGTATATTCACTCATGGGACGTGGGTGTTACTGCTTGGGCCATTTATTGCCCATCCCTAGTTGCCCTTGTGAAGGAGGTAGTGAACTGCCTTTTTGAACCACTGCAGTCTCCCTGTTGTAGGTTGACCCAAAATGCCCTTAGGCACGAAATTCCAGGATTTTGACCCAGCAAAGGATCTTTGGTGAATTTCTGCAGTGCATCTTGTAGGTAGCACATTCTGCTGATACAGAGGGTTGGTGGTGGAGGGAGTGGTTTGCTCGTGGATATGGTGCCGATCAAGTGGGCTGCTTTGTCCTTGATTGTACAAAGCTTCAAATGTTGTTGGAGCTGCATCCATCCAGGCAAGTGGTGATCACTTCATCACAGTCCTGATCACTTCATCACAGTCCTGATTTGTGCCTGTTCCGAGGAAGGGTCACCGGGCCCAGTTTTGATATTTTTTCTTCTCAGATGCTACCAGACCTGCTGAGTTTTTCCAGCAATTTTCGTTCCTGATTTGTGCCTGGTAGATTGTAGACAGGTTTTGAGCCAGCTAAGACTCCAACCACCGAAGAGTTTATTACCTGATATCCATTGATTCCAGTTTTGCTAGGGTTCCTTGATGCCACACATGATCAAGTGTGGCCTTAATGTTATGAGCTGTCACTCCCACCTTATCTTTGGAATTCTGCTCTTTTGTTCATATTTGAACGAAGGCAGTAATGAGGTCTGCAGCTGAGTAGCCCTGGCAGAACCCAAACTGGTTGCAACTGAACAGGTTATTGCTGAGCAGGTGCTGCTTAATAGCATTGTTGATGATATCTGGACTGATGCGGCAATGATTGACTGGGTTGGATTTGGCCTGTTTTGTGTGTACAGGACATACCTGGGCAATGTTACACATTGTCAGGTAGATGCCAGTGTTGTAACTGGCATCTTTGGTGTTCTCTGAAGAAGTCAACGTATGCGCTGCAATCTTCTTAAAAATTGACTCAATCTTCATCCTAGAATAGAAAATACGGCACAGGAATCTCAAGATATTGTCCTAATATGCAACTGAATGATGATACTCTTCAGCTCTTTGACAAATTCAACTTGACTGTGCAGTTGTCTTTAATTGTCAGATCTTCTCCTCACTCAAAGAAATTATGCCCGGTGGTCAGGTATCCTTTCAGTGCTTTGAACTTTGGGATGTTGTCACGCATCTTATTCTTTGTTTTCAGTGCTGAATGAGTGACTTCAGCCTTCTTGCTGTTTTCGTCTTAAGCCATGCTGAATGATCAGCGTAGCTATTTAAGACATCTTCACGATGCTTGGATCTGTTCAGAAAAGGTCTTCAGGAAGAGATGATGGTGTTAAAAATACACACAGTCAGTCAGTCAGTCATAAAGAGAATGCGTTGTGTTAAATTGTTCAGCTAATCGTGCTAAGAAATTATGTTTAGTTGGAAATTGGAAAAGTACTTTTGGCAGGTGGCAGGGCAGGTATCGATAGATGAGAGTGAGCTAAGCTGCAATGTCACTAATTTCAGTGATCATGTGTTGGTGCGCAACAAAAACAAAACTGGATTCTGTGCAGCTTGGGGCCTTATTGGCCTTACCATCATGCAACAATAAACACCGTTTAACAGTTACTAAGGTGTCTGGCCAGTGCTTCTATTAAGAACTGAAGAACTAACATAAGAACACAATGAAACTGATCAATGCAAAGGCTTGGTGATCTTGAAAATTAAAATTAACATGATGTAGTTCCCTCCTTGAATCAGGAGTTAATGTCTCCAGTATAATTCAGCAACACAACTAAATCATTTTCTATAAACTAAAGTCTTACTTTAAAAATTCTCACCTTATCTTGGTTTTCATTATTGTGATAACAAAGGTTCCCAATGAGATGGATCAAATGAGCTTTAAAACCCACAGCAGGATGGAAGGTGTGATCAGTGAATGACAAAGATTGGGATACACTGAAAATATTCTCATGTTGTTTTCCTGCAAGATGCGTCTGATCCAAAAGATCTAGAATAGAATGTGATATTCAAGAGAAAGTATTAATATAATGTCTCATATTTGCATTAATGTGCTCAATCTTAAATAAAAAGACCATTTTAATTTCGAAAATGCATTACATTTCTCCAAACTTCATTTGCCAGTCATGGCCTTTCTGTTGGCCCTGCAGTTTTTTCATAATTTGTTTTTCACAATTTGCAATATCCACTTGTTCGCATACATATCATTTTAAGTAAATAGTTATAAATAGATCTAAAAGTGCTAACGTTTTTATGTTATGTTAACATAATAAACCCAAAATTACTGCCTTTATTCCTCCTACCACAATACATTTACCCTTTCCATTTTGTGATTAAATGCTTTCCATTGCCAAACTGGGTTCTCTCTGCCAATTTTTGCTTTTAATCTGGTCATTTTTTCAAAAAAAAAACAAACAACTATCCTGACCATTGACTTCTCTTTCCTTCTTTCATACTAAAACCCTCTCTTTCTCAAATATTCATTAACTATTAGATCACTTACATGTTCAACTTCGCTACTAAGACAAGGTCACATATTGTTTCCTTCCTTGTTAGATCACTGTTGCTTGAAAAAAAATCAAGTATGCACTAAACAGAAAATTTTCCGATCTTTCATAAAGGTATTTTCATAATTTTATAAGCAAGTGGAACTCTCCAATGCTTTTGCTGATTTTTATCACACAACCAAGATTACAATAACAGACTGATCAGTATCATCCCACTACTGTTTGTGAGAAATTGCTGGATGCAAATAGATTGCGCCATATCCTACATTAAAATTTTAACTTCTCTCAAAGCCCTTCATTGCCTGTAGTGTTTCGTTTTCCCTTTTAGAATGCATCGAGTTCAAAAAAGGTGCTGTATAAATGCAAGTTATTTCTTCTCTATGCCAGGTGTTGTTGGGTCTTAAAAATCTGTAAAAGGCACAATTGTCAGTACACATATTCGATGCACTTGTCATCAAAGTCATCTCTCAATTTCTTTCCCACTGTTGTATCACCTTTAACAAGCTTCCAGTAGTTTGCCATTTGTTATGCTGTAGCTTTATCCAAAAGAATTCTGTGTGGACCACTTTTACATAAATCCATGTGGTCCAGTGCAGTGGCACTAGTCGGGATTTTGCAGTCAAATGTGAACAAATTCCCCATTCATTATAAATGTACTAAGTGTTTAAACTGGCTTTTACACTGTGCCTGACAATTGTAAATCAGTCAAAATAGAGTGGCACCTTCTTCAGGGTATCTGTATTTGTGTTCTCACCCAAACATACTGAAGAATAACATGCAAAAACTAAAGCAGGAAATACAATGTAAAATCTGTTACAGAAAACAATGTACAGACAGGGAAAGGAGAAATGTATTATTAAGATTGAGAGAGATAATGGGTAAGAAAAAAAAGCAAAATTAGATTTTTAAAAATGTAAACAATGACCAAAGCAATAATAATTTCCACTGGAAAAAATACATTTTCAATACAAAGAGGAGGATGTTGACATTAACTAAGACTACTAAAAATTCATTTACACTTGAATATTCAAGTGAGAGCTAATCGTGATGTACTTGGTGAATATCTAGCGAGCAAATACCATAGATTTATGACCTTCAAAAGTTTTAATGTTGAGTCTTCATTAAGACATCAACGCGGCAATGCTTGAGGTGGAGCTGGGAAAAGTTGACAACAACTTGCCGATTTCTGTGTTTAACTGTGAAGGTAAAGCTGCCAGACATTGCTCCTTGATAACAATTATGGCTTCTCGGTTATAATTACAACAAAATGTGGGCCATTATCTCCAATATAAAGAAGTTTTATAACGCGAAATACTTCATCAATCCAGCCTTGCTTCTACCAAATTTCAGCTTATGTTATTGTTATGAATGTTCAATTTTAATCAATGATCTTAGTTCCTGTTCTATATTATCCTGGGTTATCTGAACACAAAAACTGGGGCCAAGGTTATGAGTTTGTAGGTAATGCTGCATTTGCAGTTACATCAAAGCAATACATGTTACTGCAATAATTTTTGGCAATTTATGAAAGATGGAGAGCAAGGTTATATTGTTCTTGTAATGTTCTCTGTTAGTCTTTTGCCCCTTTTATACTTTCAGGTCATTGAATTTGCACGATAATTACTGCACAACTTCAGTATTCTCTTTGAAGGATTCATATTCCAAATGGTTAATTTCTTTGGCAAACTACTCAATATCTGCAAGGCTTTACATGATGTAGTTCATGGCTCCTAATTCAAATAAGATTACAACTGATCTTTTACAATAAAATAAAACAAAGAACTAAGCATGCTGGAAATATGACGCAAAAACAGAAACTGCTGGAGAAACTCAACAGGTCTGGTAGCATCTGTGAACAGAAAAGAGAATTAATGTTTTGAGTCCAGTGACTAGTTCTGAAGAACGATCACTGGACTCAAAACATTAACACTGAACTTTTATAATGCTGGCCCCAATGTATTAAACCTCTCAACAGTTTGTTTTTTTTGGTTTATGATTGGATTAGCCTCCAATAAACACCTGTCTCATATTAAAATTATCACTTCAATAATTACTAAAAGTAACATTTAAACATTTTCTTATGCAAAATTCAGAACAATTTTTTTGTTTTGATAGTAACTTTCTCAACACCATTCAGAATCTTTCTTGCAATTGTTCCCCATTTATTTTCCCTTTGCACTTACCAACAACAGTCTCTAGGAGACCAGGTGAATTCTGCAAATAACTGAACTTTTCATAGTTTGAAGTTGTTTCACAAAGAATATCAAGAAGCCTGATTACAATGAGGGCTTCCTATGCAAAACAAAAAAAAACCAAGGATAAATTGTGTGTTGGAACACCTAAAAATGATTCACAGAAAATAAGCAGACCATGAGTTCACAAGACCAAATCACAAACATACATTTTATAATTAAGTATTCCAAACTATGGATTGAGAGAATATGCTTTTAGAAACACAACAGTTTTCAAAATAATTTGACAGCAAAAATCGCCATTTGTTACAATTCAAACCAAGGCCAAATAAAGTTAATTTTCTTTTCCTTGATTCAATGTATAGACCAAATTCTAATTTGTTGTTGTGACAAATGATTTCATAAATCCCATTCAATAATAAAAGGGTAAATGAACAGTTCTGTTTTCATATTGAAGTGTAATGCAAGGAGGAAGGAAAAAGAAAAATAAAAAAAACTGCCTTGCCCATAAGGGCTTAAAACAATTCCAGTCTGTGGAAGCATATAAAATTGCATTATTCCACATTTTGTAAAGCAACTGTTACTAGGGTCACTGGCACCTATCAGTTTCTTCACAGTCACACGTAGTCCCAGAACGATCAAGGTTCAATTTCAGTCAGATCTAAATGTGTCTTGTGCATTTCCTTATTGGTCTCACAAGCGTGAAAAAAAAAACAAGCTGACTTCCAAAATTCTCTGTTGTCCAGGGAAATCATGCAGTCAGGCATGCTATACAGAGAGAAATCGGAAACAGACTTGGGAATGTATTTAAACATACTAGAATTGGGAAAAATATGGAAAAATAGGAGGTATAGTGAAGAGATAACACGGTGTAGAGCTGGATGAACACAGCAGGCCAAGCAGCATCAGAGGAGCAGGAAAGTTGATGTTTCGGGTCGAGACCCTTCTTCAGAAATGGGGGAGGGAAAGGGGATTCTGAAATAAATAGGGAGAGAGGGGGAGGCAGTTAGAAGATGGATAAAAGGAGAAGATAGGTGGAATCGAGACAGACAGGTCAAAGAGGCGGGGATGGAGCCAGTAAAGGTGAATGTAGGTGGGGAGTTAGGGAGGTGATAGGTCGGTCCAGGGATGACGGACAGGTCAAGGGGGCGGGATGAGGTTACTGGGTAGGAGATAGGGG